CAGCTCACAACATGGAATTGGCAACTCTATGCAATCTCCAGCTCAGCCGTCGGAGGAATCACATGGGCTTCACCCTCATGCGAAAGGGAATGGTTTATGATCCTCCCTGCCGGATCATCCAAACAAAACACAATACGATAACCCAGCTGCCTTCCCCCGCGCTGCTGCAACTCAAGGCTGTTCATATCTGAGCGATCCAAATGAATCAGAGGATCCACACCTCATGTGAACCAATGGCGACAAGATTTGCATCCTTGACCCCCCGGCTCACAACATGGAATTGACAACTCCATGCAGTCTCCAGCTCCGGCGCCGGAAGAATCACATGGGCTACACCCTCGTGCGAAAGGGAATGGTTTATGAGCCTCCCTGCCGGATCATCCACACAAACAGCAGCACAACGGCCGCCACCGCTTATTCAATTCAAGTCATGGTCGAGGCCATCTCAGCGATCGAAGTGAATCAGCGGATACTGTGAAGAAGCATCCATGCGATGGCAAGGCAATGATACCGCATGCAAACCAAAGGCGACAGGATGCGCTGTCAAAACAGGTAGGCGAAGCTGACACATCTTGAAGCCTGGTAGCAGAACGATTCTGCACAGCCATATTACCCATTGCGTCGGCAACCTGTCCACACACGTCTTGTTGCCACAGCTGGGAATAAGACTATTCTCCCCACCTGAAAACGATACATGAAAGGGCTAAGTCGATTGCGGGGCGCTCATCAAGGGTGCTGCATGTCAGCACAAGGACTGCCCTGCCAAGGAGTTGGTGGGCAACTAAACGAGGAAGGGGCAGCGTATGAATACGAGGGAACCATGGACAGGCAAACGAAGAGCCATTGCTGCTTGAACATGACTGGAGCATGCCCCTAGCTTCCTGTAGCCACCCCGTGTGCATCAATAAGTCTACGGCTACAGCACACGAGATCTCTCAAACTGAGACCCGGGCACTGCCTTGTGGGCACGTAGCTTCCACCAAACCGAGTGCTACGCTCAAGGCTGCTCCTGTGCACCTGACAAACCATGGCCCATTGAGTTCGCGTTGTAGAAGGTGTGCCCCCGAACGCCCTTGAGAATTGCAGCCTGTAGGGTCGTCGATCGTGGCCACCAAGAGGCCACGCATCTCTAGAAAGGTCGTCAAGCAGGGAGTTCAGTGTGAACCTGGTAACGTGCTTTCAAACACGCAACTTCGGCTTCTGTGTGTGGGAGATTGTGGGAGTCTGAGGTGCGCGCTCACAGTCCGCAACTGGCAACAAGAATCTCCTCTCAGACGAATTTAAGGGCCCCTGTCGGTGAGTGCCAAGGCACTACAAGAGGGCCTTGCTGCTTGGGCACCCATGGTCCCTCTGGGATCATTCTTCAACGCGAAGCCCAACTGATAGGCCACCTGTTCGCTCGGAACAAGCAATGTTCTTGAAGAGATTGTGCATGATGAAATGGATTCCCTAGAACTTGAGAACAGTCCACCCTGTGGACCAGGCCTGTGGGTGATGACCGTGAACGCCGCACCAAAAACTGTATTGTTAAACAAGGTGTTTTGTCCGAGATGCGGGGAGCTTTCTTGTTGCAAACTCGACAAGACCAAAGAAATAGGCGACAGGGAGTATGAGCACCACCTGCGACTCCTTCGGCAACTGTTCCGGGTTTGGCACCCCGCCGTGTCCATCGCCGATGCTTCACATCATGCTGCTGCTCTAACTCTTCCGTCCCTTCATCCGAGAGCAAACTTCCAATCGTGGAGCCTTTCTACCGCCGTCTGTGTGAGATCTACAGGCGGACACTAGACCCTCGGCCGTCAGAAATCGAAAGACCTAAACTGAAAACACCAGCCCTGAAGCAATTTTGAGAGGGCCAGCCTGCTGCGCGGTGTATTCTTTTCCACCGCGGAAGGCATAGGCCTGCAACATACACTCAATCGCAGTGCGATCTGAGGCAGCAGACCCTCACCTTGGGCAACGTAGTGGAGGCCAGTTCGTGGACGTAGCACCTGAGTGAATGGCTAGTACCTCTAAGGAGATACCAAGACCTATGCAAAGCAGCTGCGTGCAAACCGCCGGCTGGGAGGCCAGTCATAGCACCGAAGGTAATAAAGCCGACCAAAGCGTTTTGCGGCATCATGGCCAGCGACTGCTGGAGTGAGTCCTAAACACAATTGGGGATCTTGCAGATGTGGCCATGGGAATTGCACCAGCCGGGTTCTGTCCTTTGCTTGGTCAAGCTCTTCTTCGATGAGCGCAGTGTCCAAGACTAGCAAGAAGACTGGCCTTTCAAGCAGCTCTTGCCGGGCAGAGGGAGACTTCGGTTCAAGCAAAAAAATACAAGGTTCCACCAGAGAACTGCTGGTACTGTAAAGTAGGCCGAGTTGCGGCTGGCAAGCGACCGATGGAATGATGTACTCGATGGTAGAGCACCTTGACTTTGATCCGGACCCCTTGACTGCCCGAAGAGAAGTGTTGCCGGATCAGGGCGGCGGCATCTGAAGGAGCTCTGCCGGCAGATTCGTCTCCGTTATGTGATCTGCATAGTGCCTCGTATGTGCATAGTGCATTGAAACAAGATAGCATGCTGAGGAACCAGCTACGACGATCTGCTAAGCTCGTCTCTGAGGAAAACGATTTCGAGTGTGGCAAAATGGGCACGTCCAACCTGGTCAAGGAAGTCGAAGCGTCGAAGCACAGGAAGAATAACATAGAACAGGCTTTCGCTGTCAGGCTGGGGAGCAGACTCTTGGAGTGGAAGTCCACATAACAAAAAGGATTCAGTACAGCTCCGCAGTCTCGTCCCTGCCCGCACAGCTTGAGCGATTCAAGATTTGCAGTCAGCAGAAACTTCGGCCATCGTCGATGGCTGAGAAAAGACTGCAACCACTGGCAACCAATCTGCGAATGGCTACCGCATGATGTCACCTTGCTGGAAGAATCTGCGCTCACAGACCTAGACAGCAAGACGACATTGGGCAACATGTGTTGCACAGGTGCCGTCTGTGAAATTGGTCGCAGATTACTTGCACATTCTGGATGCGGGCTTGGCAAATCTTTACACATGATTTACAAATAGTCTGAATGAGACCCGCAGGCCGCGAGAAGCTGACTTGCCATACATGCTTTGAACAGAGCATGCAAAGCACAGGAAAACATAGAAAATGCGGCACACAGAGCATGTGCCACAAAACGACACATCCCACGGCAAACGAGCTGATAGTCTGATAGCCTCCAAGAGCATGGAGCATGCAAAAATGGGAAATCGGAACACTCGCACGCAAAGCTTCGCCAAAGCGGGAGCCAAAAACAAGATATGAAAACAGCCTCAAATGAGAACGAACTGGGAATTTTTTGCTTGGGGCTGCTCTTTGCATAAAAATGCCTACATGCGAGTGCTTGAATGAAAGCAATCCCGCGCTGGAGGTACATATCTGCACGCAAGGTTGAAACGATGTTGATGCCAGTGCGCGCCCCAATCTCTTGTCATTCCCTATCATTCGGGGATCCGGTGGGTGTTGTTGGCAGCATGTGACCGGCGGCACGAGAGCACAAGATACACAGGGATAAAACTTGCTTCGCTAAGACTTACTGTAGAGGATATAAGACTGCGTAAAAGCGTCCGCAACACTTGGCCTTGCAAATAACAGGCTCGTACTCCACCAGCTGAAGGCCTTCTGTCTCCTGCGCAAGGTTCCAGACAAATGTTCTCCTACTCCTTCGCTGGTTCAACCTTCAGAGGGGTGTAGAGGCAGCCCAACGGCACGATGACACGGGTTGCATCCAGCCTCGCAGCAGAAAGCAGAAAATGGCACCCAAACCGGCCCGAGTCCATTTTCGGGCCTGGTGCTGGGCCAAATATTCCATGACATGCGTGTACCTGTGATCTGCTCCTGCGATCTGACCTCGCACGGGACTGAATCGAAGCTTGCACTGGCTCACTCTGAATGAACTTGGAATTCAGTCCAGTGCATCCATGGCTGCAATCACAGTGTCAGAGACCGCACCACCTTAACACGGCATGTGTGGAGGTACACGTTCAACACAATGGGGTGCCAACGGCAACTGCCCTGAGTCGCGCACGCAGCTAGCCGCCTACTTCTAGCTTCCCTCTTCCTTGAGCAGCGCTGCTCTGACCGGGATCATGAATCGCGAGCAGCGTCTCCATTACAACCGCTCCACGGACGAAGTGGGTCCGTCATGGAAGATTGCAACCACCGGCCGCATCCAACTCGTGCTATGCTATTGACTTGACTCTAAGGCTGTAAGGGGTCCAGACGAAACCGGCAAAACTTCATGTCCAATTTGCTGGGCCCTCTCCATGTCAAGCTCCCCCCATGCCCCTCAGCGATTTTTCCGACCATGTGTGCTGGCATCCGCCGGAACCAGCTCCAGATGAAGGCATGGCCTCAGCGCTTCCCACTTGAACCCATCATCGGTTCGTCAAGGGATCGAAGCAGTGAGGGTCTGGACATGAGGTCAGGGGGGACCAGCAGATCTAGATACCCGGTATTTGGGGGCAGAGGGCTTTGGAGGTTTTGGAAAGCTTTGAACGGCCATTCAGGCTTGGGATCTTCCATCTCTTTATACGTTTTTTTTACAAATCATCATGTCATATTATACAGCCTATCGTATATAGCATTGTACAAATATGTGTACAAATATCAACTTTGATTTGAAGGTTTAGGGAGTGGCAGCATGGGGACTTAAAAGGGATCGCCAAACCTACACAATTCTGACATCAGATTAGCTGCGGACATGTAGAGATGCGTGTATCATATTAATGCGGGCTTTGGGGTCCAAGATACGGGAGCATAGTGACAAAATGTGTCGGAGAAGTGCCCGTGCTCCGCTGACTGCTCTCCCGCTGAGCCCGAACGCAATCTCGTTTGTCTGTGCTTTTCGCACTTTTCGCTATTTTCCTGGAGTTTTGCTTTTGGGGTTTTAATTTGTTTATGCGTTCTCGCACTTTTATGTACGTTTGTGGGGAATTTCGGCTTTTCGCATTTTTCTGAGCTTTTTGAAGGTTCGGTACTTTTCGGCTTCGGGGCTGGATAAGGGTAAGCAAGGGCTGGTCGTGGAAAAATTTGTGAAGCTGGAGGTAACCAGGTAGGCCTCAACCTAAACCGAACGGAGCCATCCCTATGTTGGTATATTTTTCTGGTTTTTGGGCATCCTAAAACCAAGTTTCAATGCCTTTTAAGCATTCCGTTTGCCCGAAAGCACCTAGCATCGGACGAGCTTTTGCTACACAGCTGGGGATCTGACTGATGGAGACGAAGTCCACATAACGCACAGAATTCAGTGCAACTCCGAAGTCTGGTCCCTACTCATAACAGCTTCAACGAGTCAAATTTCGACATCAGCAGAAACTGTGCCCACAGTCGCTGGCTGGGAAAAGGTTCCCCCACATGCTGTGCGTAGCCAGCCCATGATGCGGCTGGGCCTAGAAGAGTCTGACACGAAGCGAGGAAAAACATCTTGAAAAGCATGCAAACTTGCGAAGCTCTGCGAAGCTTCGGCAAAACAGCACAAAACCACAGTTATCAAAACAGCAGGGAGATCTATAATCCGTACACAACCCTGCAACTACTGGCATTTTGTGTCGCTTGTCTCCCAAGGCCTGAGAGTTCGTTTCACAACGAGTTACTGCCCACTTCTTTGCGATAGAGAAAAAGACGGTATGACAGACTGACGGAGGATTCCTCCGGACATGACTGCCTACACGAAACAAGGCTTCCGTTGCGTGCCGTTGCTGACGCACAGAATCTATCCGATGTGTGGCCTTCTGGACAGGACAATCCAACGGGAGGGAATTTTTTTCTTTCCATGCCTGGAGCTGCTCTTCGCAAAAGGTGTGCCTACATGCGCAGGGTTTAATCCAACCACGCTCTGGACGTAGATATCTCAATGCAGTGTCGAAACGATGTTGAAGTCGATGCTACTGCTACTATGTGCACCAATGTCTTGGCATTCCATGGATTCGAGGTTCAACAACACAAGGTGCGCAAGGACGAAAAATCGCACATGCCTGGCCTTGCAGATTACACCCTCTGTCTCCTGCAGCACCCATGCACATGTTCTATCATGTTCTCCTGCACCTTCGTTGATTAACCGAGGCTACGACGAAAGGGGCGGCATCCTGTCTCGCAGAATGCACTCCAGCCGGTCCGAATCCATTTTCGAGCCAAAGCCATAGCAGCTCGAAGATAACACCCAGAAGCGGTTAATGTCGAATGGCAAGTTGTGTGCTGCCATTGTCAAGCCTTGGTTGTTCACAGATGCTTGCCGATGCATCCGTACTGAATTACTTGTTGCAGCCGTCCATCCTCAGCAGGCTCCTTCGGACGAAAAACCATCCGTGCGGCTCTTAGTCCGCACCACTGCGAGGCAGAAGCGTCACACGCAGAAGGTGCCCTGACAGATCACCTGCGCGATGCACGAAGCTTGGTCGTCAAAGTCCAGACAAGTCTACTGCAATCATGCCTCCGGGCGCGTATCCCATTCGTGTGTGTAGTCCTGCAGATATAGTTTTCATGATGACCAGCGCCAAGATTTCCAGAAGAGACTTGTGAGACTATGCGAGCTGCCTGTGAGTCCAAAGGCTCCAGCTCCACAAGCGGAAGGTACCTTGAGTCAAACTTTCGTTCCATGCGGACCAGTGGAAAGGCTCGTTGCACAGGAGCAGCTATCAAGTGAGAATGGCTGCACCTCGACAAATCCACCTTGGATTTGGCAAAAAGCTGTTGGACCTGAAAGGAAAGCTTCTGCTTGGCCTAGATCTATAAAAGAAGAGTTCTTGTATCCCACCTCGTCAGTCTTGCCCTCCTGGATGGCTTCCTCGCACGTTCAATCTGGGCTGTCGGGCCATCCTGCGGGCTCTCGGAAGATCGTCTCCTCCATTCGGGTCACCTCTTCAAAAACAAGCTCATACGCAACTCTGTGCTACGATCTTTCGGCAATTGTCAGGCCTTCTTTGCGAAGGAACGGATGATCTGAACCTGGCATCGAGTCAAACGATTTATGTTAGAAATCCGCATGAAAATGGCACACCCAAAA